ACAATTAAACATCGAACCTGTATAATACGTTAAGACTAAATAAAGATGACTTTTTAAATCTTATAATTAACGAATCATTGTGATTCAGATCATTGGAGGAATGTCTAGAGAAACCGCAGAGACTGATCATTGGATCTATGTCTAGAGAAACTGCAGAGACTGAACATTGGATCAATGTCATAGACAAACTGCAGAGACTGAACATTGGATCAATGTCTATAGAAACTGCAGAGACTGAACTTTGAATCAATGTCTATAGAAACTGCAGAGACTGAACATTGGACCAATGTCTATAGAAACTGCAGACTGAACATTGGATCAATTTCTATAGAAACTGCAGAGACTGAACATTGGATCAATGTCTAGAGAAACTGTAGAGACTGAACATTGGATCAATTTCTAGAGAAACTGCAGAGACTGAACATTGGAGCGATGTCTAGAGAAACTGCAGAGACTGAACATTGGATCTATGTCTATAGAAACTGCAGAGACTGAACATTGGATCATTTAATGTCTATAGAAACTATAGAGACTAAACATTGGATCAATGTCTAGAGAAACTGCACACTGAACATTGGATCAATGTGTATAGAAACTATAGAGACTGAACATTGAATCAATGTCTATAGAAACTGCAGAGACTGAACATTGGATCAATGTCTATAGAAACTGCAGAGACTGAACATTGGATCAATGTGTATAGAAACTGCAGAGACTGAACATTGGATCAATGTGTATAGAAACTGCAGAGACTGAACATTGGATCAATGTCTAGAGAAACTGCAGAGACTGAACATTGGATCAATGTGTATAGAAACTGCAGAGACTGAACATTGGATCAATGTGTATAGAAACTGCAGAGACTGAACATATTGGATCAATGTCTAGAGAAACTGCAGAGACTGAACATTGGATCAATGTGTATAGAAACTGCAGAGACTGAACATTGGATCAAATCGAACATTGGATCAATGTCTATAGAAACTGCAGAGACTGAACATTGGATCAATGTCTAGAGAAACTGCAGAGACTGAACATTGGATCAATGTGTATAGAAACTGCAGACTGATCAAAGGATCAATGTCTATAGAAACTGCAGAGACTGATCATTGGATCAATGTCCGGAGAAACTGTAGACCCTGAACATTAGATCGATGTCTATAGAAACTGCAGAGACTGATCAAAGGATCAATGTCTGTAGAAACTGCAGAGACTGATCATTGGATCAATGTCTATAGAAACTGCAGAGACTGAACATTGGATCAATGTCTATAGAAACTGCAGACTGAACATTGGATCAATGTGTATAGAAACTATAGAGACTGAACATTGGATCAATGTCTATAGAAACTGCAGAGACTGAACATTAGATCGATGTCTAGAGAAACTGCAGGGTTAGATCATTGGATCAATGTCTATAGAAACTGTAGAGGCTGAACATTGGATCAATGTGTATAGAAACTGCAGAGACTGAACATTGGATCAATGTGTATAGAAACTGCAGAGACTGAACATTGGATCAATGTGTATAGAAACTGCAGAGACTGAACATTGGATCAATGTGTATAGAAACTGCAAGGTTAGATCAATGAAGCAATGTCCGATAAATTACAAGGTTATAGTTCCAAGATTTAAGGTGAAAAAATTAAAAGTTACGTTTAAATATGAATGTATTGATCTATTTTAATAAGTCAAAAAAATAAAATTTAATTATAAAAATATTTTCAAAGTATAATTAAAAAATTAATCATCAAATAGTAAAATGAAAATTTGTTCATATGTAGACACTTTTAAATCACAGCAAAAGGTTAAATAAATTCCTAATATCACCCTCAAACACAATATTTAACACATATATGTTCAATGTTCATATTATACAGAAACTTCCCGTTCCCTGTAACCCCGGTCACTGTGCACGTATAATGGGAGGAGGGGGGGGGGGTCCGTCCAAATACCAAATATACGCGCTTTCATGCGATCAGTCGGCCGGAACATGTTCAAGCACTGTGAGCTTAAAAAGCATTCATTAAAAAGTGAACAAAAAATCAAAAAATTTAGTTTACAAGAAAATTTAATTAGAATGAATCATTTTGAAAAATAAAAAAAAGGTTTTTATACGAATTTTTCTTATTGAGTATTATGCGTTTATGTTGGCGTTAAAAATTAGAGATATTCTATCATGATATGGTTATTATGTGTAGATATTTTATCAAAATCATCGGGATTATGATTGCATTGACTAAAAAATTAAGTATATTCTGTAATTTTTCCTGAATAATGGTGTATTTTACTTCTAAAATTAGGTTGACAAATAAACGCAGCAAATTATATCAAAAATCAAGACGACATTCAAGTCAAGTCATACTGTCATGTTTCTTGGGACACCCTGTATTTAGATTTTCATTCAACCCCTCACCCACCCGCTGCGACCATATATCTTTCTCCAGCCCCCTCCCCAACCGCCCTCCACCCCCCAAACTCTCCATTTAAACATTCATGTTCAATGCTCACATTAGTTCCATGCTGCTAAAATTTACATAAAAAGAATTATTTTCAAGATTAGAAATAATATCATGTTTGTTATCTATGTTGAGAATTTAGTATTTTATAGTTTTCTTTTAAGATAACACAAGATTAAACAGCAAATAAACTTCAGCTTAAGTTTTAATTATAATAAAACTCAAATTTAATTCCATAATTGATCCGAGCTAAAGATTGAAAAAAATAATAATAGAAAAAAAAATCTTAAAGTCAACTTTTTTATTTCCACATGAAGATGGAAAACTATTTTGGGGAAACATCTAATTTTTTGTTACAAATTCTGTTGGTCATTGTTAAAAAATGTTTAGACTAAAAATCTTAAAAAAAGGGTGGCCAAAAATAGTATATTTAAAACTGAATGAATTCAAGCCATTTCATATACACGCAACGTAATTAAGCAACTGCAAAATGCTGCGTGAAAAGGGTGTGTATTGTGTAAGGTTTGATATTTGAGAGCAGTTTTAAAACAGTGTTTGTGCAGTGAGTAGTGACCAGTGTTATTGTAGAATTATATGATTATATTATCTACATTTTCTACATAGAATATTTAGATTTGGGACACCTCTATTTGTAATTTGTTACTTGAAACAATAATCTGATAAATAATGTGGAAAATAATCTGATAAATAATCTGATAAATAATCTGATAAATAATTCCCCCCCCCCGAAAAAAAACAGACCAGCTGCAACATATATTGAATATTGGTATATCATGTTATTTAAAAAAAATGAACCCGTTAGTGTCTGCAACTTTAAACAAGGAAGTATGTAACTGCCCTCAGGACTTATCAAGGAATTAAATATAACAGGAATTATCTGATCGTATAATTTTGGAGCTAGTGCTTAAAATTGAAATTTATTTACAATATATTCCAAACATATTTTTTTATTTATAATATGAAAAGTTTAAAGTAAGTTCCTCGACTTTATTTTCCTTGGATATAGATTATAAATACGATTGTTTTCTCAGTTATAAATATTGGGTGGGCTGAATGCCACATAGATATACATAAATAGATTCTAGTATAATAGATGGCAACGTAGAATTGTACACTCTCAGTACACCTGTATTCTCACGTCACAAGTGTCAAATTAGTCTTAATGTCCGACAAAATTATTAATAATAGTGCTAATTTAAGAACAAAGTGATTATCTTACAGTAAAATAAGTGTAATTTTATGTGTTCTTTATTATCTGTTTTAACACTTTTTTATTTAATCTTGGAAAACACGTCAACTAATGTGAGAAAATTTCGTTTTTCTTGTTATATTTGACACTTGTGACGTCGTGTATAATTGATCCATATCTCTGTTGCCACCTATTGTGTACTTGATAACCTATTTGATAAATAGCATTCTTAGCTCTAGTGGACCGTAAATAGTAAATAGTAAAGAAAAAGGTTTTTTAAGGTTTACGGTCCCGTCTAAACTAAAGGTTTACGGTCCCGTCTAAACTAAAGGTTTACGGTCCCGTCTAAAATAAAAGGGACTGTTAGCGTTTTTTCAAATGATGGCAACGCCGATTCACAACGGGACACTTGAAAGCTTTGTATGATCAAAAGAAGATGTATATCTAAATGTTTATGTTTTGAAAACTGATTATTTTTAATTGTAGATTCCCAACAAAAGTGATTTGCGCATTTCTACTGCAGAAAAACACACAAAAATCAAAATACGATACTTTTATACCTATAAAAACGACATTATCTTTCACATTATGGATTTGAGGGTTTGAGGGTACCATTGGAAATTGGGGCATTGTCATTTTTGCATACATGGTCGCTTTAAATTACAATTACAGTCCCTTTAAAGGGAGTGTTCGCGAAAAATGAAAGGGGGTATAGGCAATGCGATAAAAAAGCGCTTTTGATCGCAACTAATCTTACTTCTATCTGTTGCGTCTATAAGGAGAAAATTGTTAAATACGTCTCATACCGAATAACTTAGCGGCCATACAAATTGAGAAAATTGCAACATACTACTTAGACCGTAAAAAATCAATTTAATTTCAAACAAATCATTCAGATATTACAACCTATGGTCATCGATTATCGTTCGCCACATTTGGATATAGTTTATGTTTTTTGGGACACCCTGTATGTCAACTTTAGTTTAAAATGCTTAACCCGGAATGAACAGATATTTAAATCACTTTGATTTCATTGCTAACATTGTCGAAAAAGAGTAACTCGCGGATAAAGAAAAAATATTTGCATAAAATCTGCAGGAAACAGCGATAACAATTATCTAGACTTTAAATTCTAACATAACACCCAACTTTATACATTATACATGCATCGTATACACTAAAAACTCAGGTTTTTTTGAAGGAATAAACCGACTTTTAAACCGCTTGGGAAAATTTGTGCAGTAATCTGCAGGCTATAATTGTTGGGAAACTAAATAGTGCATTAAATAAATCATCCACTTCTTGTAAGACTGATTTGCGCAGCTTTATATATCAGGATTTATCAATTTATCAGAGTTGTGAACAAATAATGTCGTGGGAGAGTCCCCCGCCATACTTCCAGGGATTCGATCTTACAGAATTAGGTAAAAATATTTCGAAATTAAAAAATCGCTAATTTGGCGGTAAAACTTAGAAAGCTGCCAAATAAGCGACAACAGTTCGCTTAAATTCAACCAAAAAATAGCTTTTTATGCAGAAATAGTTTCATTATTACTGAATAAGCGCTTGATTTTGTTGTTTTTTTGATCTTTTGTCGCTTGATGTTTAGCAGCCATCCAACTTTTTTATTGATTTCGAAATTTAGGGTGTATAAAAACATTTTGATAGATTACACCTACAAAAGAGTGCATTTTAATGATGGAGGATTTATCATAATTTCTAGCTCTAAAAACGCTTTTAGTTGTTGTTTGTTTGCAAGCTGTTTTATATTTAAGAGGTTAATGTTTATTTTTCAGGAAAAACACACGGAGTTCTCTGGTTTTATAAATAATAAATAATTATAATAGACAATAAATCATAATTATGACTAAGGGACTGTAAAGGAAATATGAAAGTTGTATAGACTGAAACCTAAGTATTTTAGGCATTGAACGATACATATAAGACATCTATCTGATGTTCCTGTCTCGAGAAATTGATATAAAACTGTGTCAAAATTACACGAAAATCTATATATATGAAATTTTGCATAAAAGTAGTAGGTTTAAACAGATCATATTCAGCAAATACGCAAACAATCTGAAAACGATTATATCCCACAGAAACCTGAGAATCTCAGGTTTGCTCCCATTATAATTTTTTTTATTTGTGATAGATATACTTTATAATATTATTTTTAAGTCCATAATAAGTGACAAGAACTCCCGCCAATGAGAGTGCAGTGTAGTGGTCACGTGATACAGACGGACATCACGTGACCAAACCTGGGATTCTCAGGTTTTTGTTGGATATCGTCGTTTTCAGATTGGTTTCGTATTTGTGGAATATTTCTCAAGACAGAAACATCAGCTAGATGTCTTATATGTATCGTTCAACGCCTGAGATTCTCAGGGTTCATCCTATACCCCCTTTAATATTTCCTTTACAGTTCCTATAAGGAAAAGTATCGGTAATATCTGGTCCTCAGTCAAAAAGCCTTTAAGCGGAAAAATTGACGTAATTTTGTTCCTACTTTTAAAAATTGCAGTACTTTGTGTATTTTCCAAACAAATGGGAACAAAACTTCCTGGTACAACCATCAGTGAGAACCAGAAAACGGTGGAGTTGAATGGGAAAACGAAATAAAAGCAATTTTTAATTGTTTTCGACGTTGTTTCAAAGAAAATATTTTTACTAGAAGCTTACAGATCTCTGTGTAGTGACGTGTACGGCGAAAAATTGCAGTTTTTTTATGTTCTTTGGACTATTTGATATCATAACCATAGATATACAATTTATCTAGGATCATAACTTAGTCTAAAAATCGTCTTCCTCTTTCACATTTTTCTGGTTCTCACTGCATATCTTGAATTGAATAATCGCTGTACTTTCTAAAATAATTTAAATTTTTACAACATTGATTTTAATTTATTCTGAATTCATTGTACAGGGTGACCCCAGAAACATGACAGTAGCAGACGACTTAAATGAAGTATTAGATGTTTGATATAATTTGCTGCATATATTTGTTAACCTATTTTAGATTCTAGAGTTCAAAATCACAAAATAACCATAGTCTTGGTATTTCCAAAATGTAGTTTGCCGTTTTCAATATTACCTGCAGTATGACAATTTTATTTAGATTTCGACTATATATTGGTTTTATTTAACAAATTTGTGATCTGTTCGAAATCCGTAAAAGTTCTCCTGTAATATTGACAGCACAAAAAGGCAGACCACATTTTGGAAATGCCAGGACTAGGAGAGTTTTGTGGTTATTGTTTCAAGAATCATACATGTTAAAGTAGGTTGAGGACTGAATGTCACAAATAATTTAAAATATCAAAGAGTACTTTTATTGTCTTGCAACTGTCACTTTTCGCGGGACATCCTGTAAATTTTTCCAGGAGGAGATGAGGCATATCTAAATATATCCTGGCAGGGAGAAAACCCCGCCTGGCTTTATACACTCAGGTTAAAGGGATTCTATGCAAACTTCGATTCAACCAAATATGTGCAAATTGAAAGGGATTTTGCGTAAAATTTAGTCATTGGGATTATATGAAAATATTGCTTAAAGGGACCATGTACAAATTACCATGTACAAACTACCATGTACACACTACTATGTACAAACTACCATGTACAAACTACCATGTACAAACTACCATGTACACAAACTACTATGTACAAACTTCCATGTACAAACTACTATGTACAAACTTCATGTACAAACTACCATGTACAAACTACCATGTACAAACTACCATGTACAAACTTCCATTTACAAACTACTATGTACAAACTTCCATGTACAAACTACCATGTACAAACTTCCATATACAAACTACCATGTACAAACTACCATGTACAAACTACCGTGTACAAACTACCATGTACAAAGACCATGTAAAAACTACCATGTAAAAACTACCGTGTACAAACTACCATGTACAAAATACCGTGTACAAACTACCATGTACAAACTACCATATACGAACTTCCATGTATAAACTACTATGTACAAACTTCCATGTAAAAACTACCATATACAAACTACCATGTAAAAACTACCGTGTACAAACTACCATGTACAAACTACCATGTACAAACTACAATGTAAAAACTACCATTTACAAACTTCCATGTACAAACTACCATGTACAAACTTCCATGTACAAACTACTATGTACAAACTTCCATGTACAAACTACCATGTACAAACTACCATGTACAAACTACCATGTACAAACTACCATGTTTAAACTACCATGTACAAACTACCATGTACAAACTACCATGTACAAACTACCACGTACAAACTACCATGTACAAACTGCCATGTACAAAATACCATGTGCAAACTTCCATGTACAAACTACCATGTACAAACTACCATGTACAAACTACCATGTACAAACTGCCATGTACAAAATACCATGTACAAACTTCCATGTACAAACTACCATGTACAAACTACCATGTACAAACTACCATGTGCAAACTTCCATGTACAAACTACCATGTACAAACTACCATGTATACAAATTACCATGTGCAAACTACCATGTGCAAACTACCATGTACTTACTACCATGTACAAACTACCATGTACAAACTACCATGTAAAAAATACCATGTGCAAACTTCCATGTACAAACTACCATTTACAAACAACAATGTACAAACTACCAAGTACAAACTTCCATGTACAAACTACCATGTACAATATAAAGGGATCAGAAAATCAGAGTTAGTGACAAAAACTCAATTTCTTTGGTTTGGTATGGTAAATGGATTATCTGAACAATTTGATTAAAATGACTCTAAAAATTGCAATACATGAAAATGTTAGGGTCGATATACAATTTTTGGTGATATGGACTTTCTGAAAACTGAGGATGAACTATTCACACATTTTCTTTAAAGCTCTTCTACATATATTTTTTTTCAAGTACTTCTTATTGATTAGCATCTTTTTTATTGGAAAACAAAAAATATCTGGCTGGTAAATTAACACGATAACATGTTAAGGTAGTTTTGAACTGCTTAACATCTCAGCTACTGCGGCCATGACTTTTATTTTCTTGTTTATTTTTTATCAAAAATCATTTTTTTCAAACCGTTTATTTTTAACAAAAATCATTAATTTCAAACTGATTATTTTGTGTTTATAATTTAAAATATGCACTAAAAAAAAATTTGCATAAATTATACAGCAGATATTTTGATTAATTGAAAAGACGACATTTACTATTAGAAAATTATTTAGTGTTATTAGAGATATTTTTAGTGAAGAGTGTTATCTTTGCCCCTGGGAAAGAATTTCCGAAATTTCTGGATGGAAAAATCTTACTGTACATACCCATCATCCTCTACATATACTAGGTATAGTACATGTACAGTGTACATACCCATCATCCTCTACATATAATAGGTATAGTACATGTACAGTGTACTATACATATAATCCTCTACATATACTAGGTAAACTACATGTACAGTGTAGTGTACATATCCATCATACTCTACATATACTAGGTACAATATATCATCCTTTTCATATACTTTGTATACTACATGTGAAGTGTACTGTACAACTGTACATACCCATCATTCTCCAAGGTTATAGTACATGTAAATATACAGTGTACATACCCATCATACTCTTCTAATACTAGGTTAGTAGGTATACTACATGTTCATACTATAGTATAGCACAAACTACATATTCAAAAAGTGGGGTTATCCGCAAAGGATGATACTTCTTAGACAACTGTACAAATCTTATTCAGTCAGCTATAAGCTTTTTTCTTTCTTTGCCAAATCCTTTGATATATCAGTTAAAGACTGTTTGTATGCCAGTAGCTCAAGTTCAACATTCGGAATGTTATATTTAAGAGAGAAAAAATGTTCATCCTATATGGATAACCATGTACAGTGTTACAGTACTCATCATCCTCTGCATATGGTAGGTACAGTACATGTAGAATATATCTACACAAGGGAACATGCAATTCACCATCTACATCATTAAAGGTATAATATCTATACACTACATATTTTAGGTACACTACATGTACATGGATATTCCATAATGTATAGCATGTACGTAAAGTGAACATATTCATCATCCTCTATATATGTACTTGCATGTACATATATAAACCTACACTACAATTACATGAAGTGAAACCCGAATAAAGTGGACTTAACATAGTCTTCGTCTAGTCTTTTAATTATTAGAGGCGTCGCTAAGAATTTTATTTTGTAATTTGTAACGCTGAAAACCCTAAACATATTCTGAAATTACTGAATCTCTAGAGACCTGTCTATCTTTCTTATTAAAAAATTAACCGAAGACGACTTTTGTTCTGATTTTTTTACCATAGTATATATATAATTTTCACAACTCACAGCCAACAATGTAGATGTATTGATTTCCCTTGGAATGACCGGTTTCAAACTACTCTCACTATATAAACTGTGTTTTCTTTAATTCTTTATTCAGATGATGTTACTTGGTAGAAGAGAGTTTGGATGTTTAACTGAAATAGATTGGAGTATTATAGCAACAATATAACATTGATAAGAACAATTTTTATAATGATTTCATATAATTACTTACACGAATGTCATCTATTAAGAAAGAAATCAAAGTAAGTTTACATCAGCGTCCATGGTTGGTTTAAGCCTTACTGAAGCTATACTCAGGATCCAGGCATACATACGTGCGTGCGCGCAGCAATTGTACATATTATATATAGTAAAATGGGAATAGATCAAATGCCTAATTTCAAAACAGTAGAAATTTTTAATAATAGATAATAATAAAGCTGGAAAAAAATTTTTTTACCTAACATTTTTTTAAAGCCTTGTCTGATGGTTCTGAGCAATATATAAGGACGGACTCCCCCTCATTACAGAGTACAACGCTATGCAACAGGACACAGAGGTTCGGAGAGTTCGGGGTATATAATCTTAACATCAACAACTGTAGGTCAGTGGTTCATATCTATAAATATATAAAGTTGTAATCTCTGTTTGTTTGTTTGTTTGGTTGTCCGATCATAACTCACGAACACCTGGACCAATTTGAGTCAGATTTTTATTGGGAAACTCGGGAGAAACACGGGAATGTTCTTAGTTTGATTTTAAGATTCTAAGTTGTGTGGGTCGACTTTATAAACGAAGAGGAATTGAGTATTTGCCACAAACTCGCATTTTCTAATGTCTATATATTTGCAATCTGTAAACTTAGATTATTTTATGTAACAGAATTCATAATTTGAAATGTCTAAGGTATACGACATTGGGTTGTAAAGATATAAGAAAGAAAAAAATCAGAGTTTGTGGCGAAGACTCAATTTATTTAGTTTCCCGGTAAAAATCGACTGAGTGCGGGTAAACGGTGGAAGTAATTATGAGTAACCTGGACAACGCTGTTTCCTAGCTTATACCACTCTGAAATAGGAAGACCGCATGTTTAGCAATCCTAAGTGTATTTAAAATGTTGTTTTTAGCCAAAAAAATATTTGATTAGTGAAATAAGTCTGTTTACAATGCACAATTGCTGTGTTTTAAGTTCATTGAAATAATTAATATCATATCTTTCATTTCCATATTCTACAGTTTAATTGTTTTTTTTTTATTAGCAATGTTTCGACATTTAGGGTTTAATATAACTTTGAGATTGAAAACTATAGCTAAAGATGAAATTTTGAAAACTGTGTTTGGGTAGGGTTTGGTCTAAGAGAGTTTCAAATAATTTGAATAAATTAAACAATCTTCCTACGACATCGAAAGATAAACAGAATTAAAAAGTTCGAGTTTGAAATTTTTAAAATAGTAATCAGTTCCTTTCCACACACATATACAGAGTGAGCAGGGATTATCGATGCTAAATTTCAAAATTTTTGTTTTGTTCTTATTTTAGACATTACAAAATAAAATGCTTTTTGGAACATTGATGGGAAAATATTTATTCTATTGTTTTCCAAAATATCATAAAATTCATCAAACATTGAATGAGATACAAAAAAAATGTAAGCATATTATTTGCATTTTTGAAGTAATTACAGTTCTAGGGTTATAATTTGATAACATTTACTGCAGATTTCCACTTAAAATTTCTGCGGATTTTTTGTCATACCACAGAAATAAAAAATTAAAAAATTGAGTTGAGTTGGTTGACTCCTATAGAGAAAGTTTAGTTTCAATGCAACGATGGGATCCCAAGCTAGTAATGTAATAAAAATATTCTAATTAAAGTCTTGATGTTCTGCTTGAACCTGTGAATGAGAACCTGGCCCTGCTCGTCTGCTTCCTGTTCTATGTGGGCCTGGCATTCCTCTGTATGGGAGCAAAGTTCATCCCAGGAAAACCGGTTCATAAGGTAAACAAATAGATGTAAACAAACATATCTGATCAAAGAATGTAAAAAAAGTTTGTTTTGTAGTAACTGGTTTATTATGTAAACAAAATTTGTTCTAGAGAGAAACTGGTTTACAATAAAAACATACAAAGTTTATGATGTAAACCAAATAGATTCTTGTACAATAGATGACAACGTAGATTTTGTACACCTCATTACAGCTGTATTCTGACGTCACAAATATCAGCTTGGTGTTTGTGTCCGACAAAATTGTTAATAATCGTGCTAATCAACAGGGTGATTAAGTAACTTTATCGACCGGCTTTTAAATAATTTGAGTAAAAATAACATAAATAGATATTATCCTACAGTAAAATAAATGCAATTTCATGTGTTCTTTATTTTCTGTCTTTGTGAAAAAATATAGTTTTCCTTGTTATATTTGACACTTGTGACGTCATGTATAGTTGGTCCATTTCTATTGTACTTGTTAATCTATTTGATGTAAACAAAGTTTGTTCTAGATAAACTAGTGTATAATGTAAATAAACTCTGTTACTGGGATATTGGTTTATATGTTATATGTACTGTAAACAAAGTTTGTTCTAGAGAAACTGGTTTACAATGTAAATAAAGTTTGTTTTAGAGAAACTGGTTTACAATGTAAATAAAGTTTTTGTTTTAGAGAAACTGGTTTACAATATAAATAAAGTTTTGTTTTAGAGAAACTGGTTTACAATGTAAATAAAGTTTTGTTTTAGAGAAACTGGTTTACAATGCAAATAAAGTTTTGTTTTAGAGAAACTGGTTTACAATTTAAATAAAGTTTTTTCTATAGAAACTGGTTTACAATGTGAACAAAGTTTGTTTCAGCGAAACTGGTTCCTAATTTAAACAAAGTTTAAACTAGAGATATGGGTTTATATTGTAAACAAAGTTTATTCTAGAGAAACTGCTTGAAATGTATGCAAAGTTTTTTTTATAGAAACTTGCTTTTAATGTGTAATGTAAGCAAAGTGTTTTTTCCTATAGATATTAGTGCAACATTTTACAGTAAAGACAAAAAAGAGAAAGTGTTTTTAAATCAATAAATTAGAAATAATTTATTTCATAAATTTTAATGGAGTTTACACTGTTTTAGTATGAATGATTGATTTGCAACAAAGTTATTTTTCCTGAGATATTGTGTACGATGTAGACATAGCTTAAAAGAGAAAGTATTTCAAACAAAATTTAAATAATTAAAAAATTATTACAAAAATTTAAAGGAATTGAGTTTTTGCCACAAACTCAAATCTTCTGACCCCAATATGTTTGCAACCTGATGGTGCAAACCTTTAATATTTCAAACTTAGATTATTTTATCTATAAGTATTAATAGTTTGAAATATCTAAGGTTTACGACATTGGGTTACAAAGATATTGAGATTTGAAAATCAGAGTTTGTGGCAAAAACTCAATTCCTTTGAATAAAAATTTAGTTTGAAAGATTGATGGGCTGGAGGGATGATACAGCTGGTTCAGGGAAACCAAGACTGAGATCCCTGGATACTTTTAGGGGGATTAGGAACTAGAATAAACTAGAAAATATAATTCTAAGAGATTTCAAAATTTAATTTTCTTTAATCTAGTTGATTGTCATATTCCTAAAAATAACACTGCTCAGAAAGGAAATCTGAAAAATACAGTGATTGGAAACAAATGTAAAAATGTATAAACAATGTGACTGATAATCTGCTGGTCCTTTAAAATGTTGCAAATTGTCATTGATCGAAAAAATATTTGCAATTGTTTTTTTATACAAAGATTTAAAAATGTCCTGAATTCTTCTGACTTTTCAGAAATTGTTTTTGTTTTTCAAGTTAAGGAGATGATATAATAGATATCTTTATAAAAACGGATGACGATTTTAATTTTATGAAACTATTATGTACTTTATCATTCTTACTCACTTCATCGTGAATCTCATAATGAACGTGCTATAAAGTAATCATGGTGCTATAAAGTTGTATATTATAGCACGTGTGCTATAAAATTTTATTGGTTCCCGGATTTTCTCAAAATAATTTAGGATATTTCCAAAATATATTTTTTTTTCAATTGAAATGAAAAAAAATTTGAAATCAACTTTATGTTTTGACTTCTGCTTTGTTTCAAAGCTTATTTGATCTAGAAAAAGCCATTGAAATAAGACAGTACACAAATGTTTCATAAAATTACCTATAACACTGTTAATTGACACGACGTGCTCGAAAGTGTTTGAACAGAAAATTTCTTTTTATCGTGAAGGTTCAAGCATTTTTAGACTTGATTTTGTCCCGAGCTTTAGCGAACAACAAAATATAATCTAAAAGGCGAGAAACTTTATAGCCACTGAGAACCAAAAAAACAGTGTTATAAATAGTTATTATTTTCTATAAGAATATGCAGTTTAATTTAGATTTTGTGAAGACACTTTTTTACGAAACTATGGAATAGGGAAAAGACTGTTAAACCAACATGAAACACAGTAATTGTGTAGTGTTCACAGACCCATTTTATTAAAAAAGTTTCTTTGTAAATCTATTTACTTCATAACAACATGAGATTACTTAAATGTCGTTTTTCTTTCTTTAGTTGCTAGGTTCTCCTTTATAGTTTACTATCCCAATTTTTTTCAATTTTAAAATAAAAATTGTATTAAAGTTTATGTTTGCGTAAAGTTTGGCGATTATGATCTTCGTAAACGACGGTGGTGGTATGTACTGGTTCTTCGAGCACGCGACGTGGAACGGTTTGTGCGTGGCTGATCTCGTGTTTCCCTGGTTCCTCTGGATTATGGGGGTCTGTATACCGATGTCTGTCAGGTGATGATGAATGGTTAAAGGGAATAATAAAAAATATCATGTTATTTTTTCTTGGAATAATAGATATTTAGTACCACAGCTTAAGATGAATAGCAGAATTATAGATTTTTCCTATTAATAAATATTTTATATTTAATTTAGTGAATATATAGTTATACGTCTTTTTTGAAGTTGCAGATAATATTACTACTAGTAGATAAGCCCTGATAAACCTTTCTTAAAAATGGCCTCTGTTAAATCCCGAATGTCGTCGTTTTTCGAATCGAATTTTATAAATGTCTTAGTCCTGTTCTTCAGGGGCAAACTTTTCATTTAAGACATCTCCTAGTTCGTATGCTTTTTATGAACCTATGCCATGCATAATGCCATTGGTCGAGACTTGCACTAATTGAATTTACTTGCGATAACAAATTGCAAAAATAAAAAAAAAAAACATTAAAAAATATCTTACAGAAAGACTAAAAAACAATGTTGTTTGTTTTTAAAACAAAATGAAAACAAACAATGAAACATGAGAAATCAACTTTGTAAATTGTTTAGGTCGAACTTGAGACGAAAAGTTCCTTTATCCACTGTGGTTTGGCAGATATCTGTCAGGTAAAACTAGGAGAAACCAGCCTTTTTTGTAAAATGTCGTCTTCAATTTTATTTTATTAAAAATTTAAGATTTTTATTCTAGCCTTCTTTAAGTAAGATGGAATTGAATCTTTTAATATTCATTTCAATAAAACAGGTAAAGAAGCCAGGAACGTAATTGGTCATGGCGGATTAAATATTAATTTGATTGAATTAGGAAAAAGACTTTTAGGAAAAACGACATTTACAATTATCTCTATTTAGCTTAATTGTACCTTTGTAAGGTCTGTGAAGCTGTTTTTGCTTGGGTTTATTCTCAACACCCTGGGAGGATGGATTGATCTAGAAAGGTAAATATAAAGCATCAAGCAGTGACAGCTTAAGGAAGGGGGGGGGGGGAAGGGGGATGCTCCAAATCCCTGGCAGTGCAGTTGTGGGCTTTTGATCTGTTTTAAATAAGTAATTCAATAACTATAGATAAATTTGCAACATTGAAATGATTCTATTTTTTAAAACATCTTTTTTAGAAAAATATAACGAATTATCTTGCATAACATCTAACTGTCTGTTATGTAAATAAGCGCTAATACTTCATGTGAAGTGAAATGACATATTTATTTGTCTTTTCATAATTTTTGCAGAGCTGTGTTGGTAAATATATATTCTCCCCTTTAAAACAAAACATGATAATTCAAATTACTTCACAAAAATCATTAGTACACCATTATTTTCCTCTTTTCCCCTCTCCCCTCATACCCTTCATCTCCTCCTATCCTCATTTTCTCTAGGCCGATTAACTTCCTTATATTTTATATAATGCATGTCTAAATTTTTTTTAAAATGATGTATGTATCATTAGTATAAAAAAATAATTTTAAAAATAGACTAAAAAATTTCTTTTATTCAGGCTTCGTGTTCCTGGCGTTTTACAGAGGTTTGGAATTGCTTACTTTGTTGTTGCTGTTGTAGCAAACATAGTAGCCATCCTCACAAACTTCGAGAGCAAACCCAGCAGCTCTGAGAGCAAACCAGGCACCTCTGAGAGCAATAATAATGAGAGCAAGTCAGGACGATCTTCCAAGCCTGGATTGTTCACGGATCTCAAAGATCTAGCTCCTCAATGGTTCATTATGTCCGCCATCTTGTTTGCGCATCAGCTGATAATATGGCTGGTGGCAGCACCTGGATGTCCTCAGGTAAACTTTCGCGAATTTATGCTTTAATGCTTACAGGTGAGCTGTCAAATTTTGGACCAATTTTATTTTCGTGTTATCTGAATTTCTGTTTACTTATTCAAATACATTCTTTATACTGTGACTGTTTTTTTATATGTAAAATTTGCTAGTGTAGGAAGGGTATTCAAAATAAATTAAAACTTAAATAATATATATAAATGATTCTGTGCCATGCACTGAAATTTATCTAGGGATACCGTGGACCAGGTGGACTTCATGACTGGAGTCCGGAGCGGAATAATTCCGGATGTATCGGAGGAATTACAGGATATATTGATAAGGTAATAATACCGGATGTATCGGAGGAATTACAGGATATATTGATAAGGTAATAATTCAGGATGTATCGGAGGAATTACAGAATAAATTGATAAGGTAATAATACCGGATGTTTCAAGGAATTACAAGATATATTGATAAAGTAATAATACGGGATGTATTGGAGGAATTACAGGATATATTGATAAGGTGATAATACCGGATGTATCGTGGAATTACAGGATGTATTGATAAGGTAACAATACAGGATGTATTAGAGGAATTACAGGATATATTGATAAGGTAATAGTACAGGATGTATCGGAGGAATTACAGAATATATTGATAAGGTAATAATACCAGATGTATCGGAGGAATAACAGAATATATTGATAAGGTAATAATACCGGATGTATCGCAGGAATTACAGAATATATTGATAAGGTAATAATACCGGATGTATCGGAGGTATTACAGGATATATTGATAAGGTAATAATACCGGATGTATCAGAGGAATTACAGAATATATTGATAAAGTAATAATACGGGATGTATTGGAGGAATTACAGGATATATTGATAAGGTGATAATACCGGATGTATCAAGGAATTACAAGATATATTGATAAAGTAATAATACGGGATGTATCGCAGGAATTACAGAATATATTGATAAGATAATAAACCGAACGTATCGGAGGAATTACAGGATATACTGATAAGGGAATTAAGATTAATTCAAAACAGTTAATGAGGCAATAAACTTATTTTTGCTCAGTAAACTTTTGTTTGAAACAAAAAAAAAATATTTTCTTTTAAAAAATATGAGTTACCTCCTTTAAAGCAATATATTTTACCTTCCAAAAAAAAAAAAATCTAAAAATGTGAATTATTTGTATAATTTAGAAGCAAGAATTTGATTCTAACCCCAACAATAAGATGATACATAAATACTCAATTTTTTTTGTTTAGGCATTTTTCAGCACAGCTCATATCTACGGGAATCCTACAGCACGAAGTGTTTATAAAGCATCAGAGTTTGATCCTGAGGGTATACTTGGAACATTAACCACTATTTATTATTTACTGTCCAGGTATGGCTAGGCTACCAGGCTGGGTATATACTGCAAGTGTACCCAGATTGTAAGAATAGGGTTTCTCGACTTATCATATGGTCGATATCTACAGGTACGATACATGCTGTACAGTGTACAATGTACAGGTGACCCATTGCTGTAAAGTGTACAGTACGTACATGTGATACATGCTGTACAGTGTAGGTCCAGTGTACAGGCGATACATACTGTACAAGTGTACAATTAGTGGCAAAACTACGGGAGATGTTCTTAATTTGAAATAATGTAAATCTTTGTGCAATCGTACAAAATCCCTTCCTCCTCCATTGGGTTGTAATGTATAATGTCATGTCCGATAATAACTCAGGAACCCCGAGGCCAATTTGCCTTAAGTTTTGATGAGGGGACTCCAGAGCACCAAGGGAATGTTCTTATAGTTTCGTTTTGTAATTCTAAGTTTACTTTTACAGGAAAACTCCTGGCAAAGCTGAGTTTAGTTTTCAAGCTAGTTGAATCATTGAACCATTGAATCATTGGATCATTGAACCATTGAATCATTGAATCATTGAACCATTGAATCAATGAATCATTGAATCATTCAACCATTGAACTATTGAACCATTGAACCATTGAATCATTGAATTATTGAACCATTGAACCATTGAATCATTGAACTATTGAATCATTGAATCATTGAACCATTGAATCAATGAATCATTGAATCATTCAACCATGTGAACCATGGAATCATTGAATCATTGAATCATTGAATCATTGAATCATTGAACCATTGAACCATTGAATCATTGAACTATTGAATCATTTAATCATTGAACCACTGAATCAATGAATCACCCAATCATTGAATATTTTATATTGTATTTTTAGAAACTAAATCAGACAATTTTTTATTTTCTCTGTTAAAACCAATTAAAATTATATATCATGTCAAATCTTTGTGTTAATGGATAAACCCGGAGATAAGAGAATAGATGTCTATTATAGACTAGTATATACGATATTTTCCACATCAGGTTCCATTGTGTACAACTGGAGTACACGACCAATAAACAGACGTCTGGATACGACCCTTCAAAAATAGACTAAATTAACAAACTTTATGTTTTATGTTAAACGTTAGAGTATTTCTTTAAAAATTTTAAAATTAAAACCTGAATGGGTATAATATGCAACAAGTGACCGTTAGATGGCAGTCAAAAACCTTTTATGGAACTGTATTATGCCTGCTTAGCCTATCCAGGTAGAGCTTATGAGCAGTCTGTGTTAGTCCGTGGATTAAGATTTCCCCCATCTTCCCTCCCACCCCCTCTTTCCTCTCCCCTCGATCTACCCCTTTCCACTTTTGGTTCTAAGTAGTACTTTTGGGATTCTAAAATATGTTGTACACGAATTTAAATAGTTTATCAAGTACGATTACAGAGGAAAAATGGATGACAATAGAAAATACATTAAACAAAAAAAACTTGTGAATAAATTGCAAACTTGGTGTGGAATTTTATTAGGAGCGTATACAGGAATTTTTCCAAGTGAATGGGGGGGGGGCAGTTTTCTTTTCAAAGGGGCTACTGGATATGCACCCTTATGTTGGGGCTTGAAACCCCTTAAAAATCATGGATTTCAATGATACAGGGTGGGCTGAGCCTCAATGCCCCCACCCCGTGTACACCTCTGAAACAGACCCCATTATTCGTATTCCCTAGTTACAAAAAACTTCTGTAAACAAGAGAAAAGTAAGCAAAGAAGAGAAATATTCATGAATTATTCATCAATGTTTTCTTTCTATACAATTAGTATAAGTAAAATATTTTTTTACCAGGGGAGATTCCGCCAAAAATAATATTCCTTATTTTAGTTTTTATTCTTTTTCTTTCTTTTTAGATTATTTAAAAAATCTTAGTTATGCAGTAAGTGTATCGTTTTAGATAGTTTTATAAAAAAAGTTAAACATTTTTTTTAAAATTTCATACAGTTCACTTTAATGTGGAACACTTTAATTAAGTACAAAATTGTTAGGAACCAGTTACTATATGTAATAAATATCGTGTAACACTATATCTGTAAACCTGAACTACGTTGTAAATTATTCATCTACATCTACGTAAAACGCATATCATGATTAATTTAAACTACGCTGTAAATAACTACGTGACATGATTAGCTTAATCATGTGACATATTAATTACATAAAAACTTGTAATTAGGCCTCTTAACTTTAAATTGTAAGATAGATTGATTACGGTTATAGAGTATAACAAAAAACAAGTTGATTATATCGTGCCCATTGGTTTGGCATTGATAGTTTACTAGCTTGTGTCCGTGTTGACATTCATAGCTGACGAGATCGTCCCCATTGGTTTGGCATTGATGGTTTACTAGCTTGTGTCCGTGTTGACATTCATAGCTGACGAGATCGTCCCCACTGGTCTGGCATTGATAGTTTACTAGCTTGTGTCTGTGTTGACATTCATAGCTGACGAGATCGTGCCAATTGGTCTGGCATTGATAGTTTACTAGCTTGTGTCCGTGTTGACATTCATAGCTGACGAGATCGTCCCCATTGGTTTGGCATTGATAGTTTACTAGCTTGTGTCTTTGTTGACATTCATAGCTGACGAGATCGTGCCAATTGGTTTGGCATTGATAGTTTACTAGCTTGTGTCTGTATATTAGCTTGGTGTGTGACATATAATAATTTAGGTATAATCAGTGCTATACTATGTGGTGGTGAACAGAATGGTGGCTGGGTTCCAATAAACAAAAATCTTTGGTCTATCTCCTACGTCATGGTGACCTCTTGCTTCGCCTTTGCACTTCTAGCCTTTCTCTACATCGTCATTGATAAGAAGGATTGGTGGAAAGGTCAACCTTTCTTTTATCCAGGTGAATATTGGAGGAAGGTTCAACCTTTCTTTTATCCAGAATATTGGAGGAAGGGTCAACCTTTCCTTTATCCAGAATATTGGAGGAAGGTTCAACCTTTCCTTTATACAGAATATTGGAGGAAGGTTCAACCTTTCTTTTATCCAGAATATTGGAGGAAGGGTCAACCTTTCCTTTATACCAGAATATTGGAGGAAGGTTCAACCTTTCCTTTATGCAGAATATTGGAGGAAGGTTCAACCTTTTTATTATACAGGTGAATATTGGAGGAAGGTTCAACCTTTCTTTTATCCAGAATATTGGAGGAAGGTACAACCTTTCCTTTATCCAGAATATTGGAGGAAGGTTCAACCTTTCCTTTATACAGAATATTGGAGGAAGGATCAACCTTTCTTTTATCCAGAATATCGGAGGAAGGATCAACCTTTCCTTTATACAGAATATTGGAGGATGGGAAGGATCAACCTTTCTTTTATCCAGAATATTGGAGGAAGGTACAACCTTTCCTTTATCCAGAATATTGGAGGAAGGTTCAACCTTTCCTTTATGCAGAATATTGGAGGAAGGTTCAACCTTTTTATTATACAGGTGAATATTGGAGGAAGGTTCAACCTTTCTTTTATCCAGGTGAATATTGGAGGAAGGGTCAACCTTTCTTTAATCCAGGTTTGGTTCGTCGATGGCGGGGGGAGGAGGATTACTTTCTTATAATATTTTTTTATTTTCATATTTACCTAAAATTAGTTGTTTTCTTATTTACAATTTTTATTTTCTTTCAAAAGAATTTACTATTTTATCTATGCATTATTCCATTTCAATGCTTGGAAATGTTTAAATATTCATATCGTAAAATTGTTTTCCATGTTTTAGATGTGTCTAGCGAGGGGAGGAAGGCCAGCCACAATAATTTCTCGTCCGAGCCACATTATCCTCATTTTCTCGTCCGAGCCACCTCGGAATCCTCGTCCTTCGATTATTTTGCGTTAAAAAGTTTCCAATTCTTGAAGATAAAACTATTTTTTTTAATCTGGCCACGTTAGGGCATAGAATATGGACGGACTATAGTATTGCAATGATTATATCATGTTGGAATCTTCAAACTTTATATAGGTAAAACTTAAATCTCTTCTGCCTCCGTAATGGCTAAACTTTTTATATGAAATAAATAGCAAAATATTCGGCATACCTCTGCCTATAATTTTTCCCATGGAACCACCCGGAAAATGGTTTTCACTATAGTTAACAAAAAAGATTGAAGTTCTATAAACTTGGAATTATTTGCGGCATTCTACACCAGGTATATCTGAAAATGCGCGTAAAAAAGGTGAATATTTTTAAAGACATTAAACTTAAAATCTTTAATTCCGTTGAAACTTTTATTTTAGATTTACAGAAATTTTATATTTCATTTATGCCCTAACCTGGCTTGATTATTTAAAAATAGTTTTATCTGGAAGGATTAGACACTTAAAAAAATAATATTGAAAGGACGAGGATTTCGAGGTGGCTCAGACGAGAAATTGTTGTGGTTGGCCTTCCTCTCCTCGTCTAGCTATTCATGCATAAATAAAAATTTAATTTTATGGGATTTTTTCTTAATCTTGATTTGATTGTATAAATTTAAACCAATTTTTCTTCTTTTTTGTTGTACAGATTTAGACAGATGTACTACTGTACTGCGGGCACAGTGTACAATCTATAATATATATATATATATATATATATATATATAGTGTACAGGAGGAGTGAACAGTATACTACTGCGGGCACAGTGTGGCGTACAATCTATATACATGAACACTGTAGAGGAATCAACAGTATACTCCTGTACTGCGGGCACAGTGTGGCGTACAATATAAATATGTACACTGTACAGGAATGAACAGTATACTGCTTTACTGCGGGCACAGTGTGGCGTACAATATAAATATGTACACTGTACAGGAATGAACAGTATACTGCTGTATTGCGGGCACAGTGTGGCGTACAATATAAACATGTACACTGTACAGGAATGAACAGTATACTGCTGTACTGCGGGCACAGTGTGGCGTACAATCTATTTCCTTTTCATTTTATCAGTGGAGAAATGAGAACTCATGCAGCGAGGTAAAACATATTTTTTTCTTTTGGGAAATAAAACAAATGTGAAAATAACACGATTCTTCCAAACAAATCAAAATTAAGATTTAATTATTAAAATTGTTTAGCTTGTTCCACTCTATAAGTGTAATTAACAATTCCATACTACCCCCCCCCCCTTTCCTAGAAAATAGTTGCGCCTCTAAGAGAAATATCAACAAAGTATATTCGAACAAGTTTATGCGTAAATTATTTTTTTTTCTAGATTCATATTTTTCACGATTTTTTATTCTTATAATGGTATAATAAACATATATTTATTAGTATTGATTACAAAATAAATAATTGTAATATTATACTAATTGTAATAATATACCTAATGGACCACATTAATATTCATTTAATTTTTTTCATTTTCTTTGTTTCGTGGAAAATAATATGGTTTAAGGGTATGTTTTGGAACATGGACATTGGACAAGTCATGTCATAAATATGCCATTTTATAGATAGGCCATTTTATAGACAGGACATTTCATAGACAGACTATTTTATAAACAGGAGATTTTATAGACAGGAGATTTTATAAACAGACCATTTTATAGACAGACCATTTTATAGACAGGACATTTCATAGACAGGACATTTCATAGACAGACTATTTTATATACATGAGATTTTTTAGACAGGCCATTTTATAGACTGCCCATTTCATAGACTGCCCATTTCATAGACAGGCCATTTTATAGACAGGCCATTTTAAAGATAGGCCATTTTATAGACAGTCCATTTTAAGGACAGGCCATTTTAAAGATAGGCCATTTTATAGACAGGCCATTTTATAGACAGGACATTTCATTGACAGTCCTTTTTATAGACTGGCCATTTTATAGACAGACCATTCTATAGACAGACCATTTAAAGACAGACCATTTAAAGACAGGACATTTCATTGACAGTCCATTTTATAGACAGGACATTTCATTGACAGTCCATTTTATAGACAGTCCATTTTATAAACAGGCCATTTAAAAGATAAGAAATTAAATATATTAGTACAATTGACTTATCTTAAGATATGTCCTATTAGTGAAATCTATGAAATGTCTAAAAAATGTAATATCTGTCCTATTTATGAATTACAATACATACACATACTGGCAAATAATATCAACGCGCCGCTTTTAATGGTTTAACTATATTTGGTTTGCTGTATACAAGAACCAAATATATTTGGTTTGGTGTACAAGAACCAAATATATTTGGTTTGGTGTACAAGAACCAAATATATTTGGTTTGGTGTACAAGAACCAAATCCCCTTCTTCTTTTTATCACACAATCCCTTTAGTGGTAATATCATATTTATTATTTTTACAGATATCCCAATTATAATTAAAAGGACTTTATACGTAATTCAAAAGATGATAATGTCTGATTCACACCGGTACCTTTAATAACGTTGTCTGATCAAGTATGAATGAGATATCAATGTTTATGATTTTGCAGTTTCCCTACAAAAGTGACGTGCGCGTTTATACTGAAGGAAAACATACAGGAATCATCAGAAATAAACACTTTTCAACCTAGAAAAAAGACTATCTTCTACAGTTCTATAATATTGAGCAGGGTACTGTTGTAAAGCCTTTGTCAATATAGGCCTTGCTATCCTAGCATAATTGTCACTTGAAATTACGCTTACAGTCCCTTTAATAGTATTATCATTATTTTTAATAATGATATCATTATATTTAACAATGTTATCATTATTTTAAACATTATTATTATTTTTTTTTTGATAATGTTGTCATTGTTTTTAATATTGTTATCATTATTTTTGATAATGTTGTCATTGTTTTCAATATTGTTATCATTGTTTCAAATATTGTTATAATTTTTTTTTAATAATATTATCACTTTCTTTTATATAGTTATCATAATTTTTAATAATATTATTATTATTTTTAAATAATGTTATCATTATTTTTGATAATATTATCATTGTTTAAAACAAAATTATCATTATTTTTTATTTTTTATATTCAGGTTACCAGAGGCCCTGTGGGGAACAACTCTATGGATTTTTATATCCTTTGTTCTCTACAAAAAGAAGGTTTTTGTTACAGTTTAAAATATAAAACTTAGAAATCAAAAATTGATAATAGTATTCTGTGTTTTTTTTAAATAATGTTATAATATTTGACGTTTCTCTAACAATTGTTTTCATACTTTCTTAAGGCGCTGCCTTTTTTCATTTTTAGAAGGTTTACTACAGATAATAATATCTTTTAAATATATTTTTATGAACTTTAAAGATATTATGTTATTTTATACTTTTGTATTGAATATAGTAATAAACCTCATATTTTGTAAACCTGAACATGCCTATATATATCACGTTATAACATTATTTGCACCTAAACGACATTCATTCATTTCTGAACAAACCTATCGGTCCATATTATTAATTTGTACTATAAAACCCAAAATATAGATTAGTTGGACATGAAACTTTGCTTTATTATGTTTAGACGCGTATTATTTCTCGTGTAGAGAGCATTGGGTTCTAGAGTGAGTTGTATCTGAACGATACAGACTAAGAATACAGAGAGTGTTGTATCTGGATTGATACAGACTAAAGTATTACAGTAGAACATTGATTTCTAGAGCGAGTTGTATCTGAACGATACAGACTGAAGAATACAGAGAGTGTTGTATCTTGATTGATACAAACTATAGTATTATTGGAGAATATAGAGTATCTGGATTGATACAGACTTAAAGAACTATTGGAGTAAGGCATTTGGTACACTTTGATGGAACTCTTATTTTGCAGTTAAATAAATAAATTAATGAATTCTCAAGTTTGATTCAGAGACAGAATTGCATTATTCAAATTCCAGTACATTCATTTAATTCAAATGCATCTGAGAATTGTCATTCAAATAGAATTAATTTTCCATAGTAAATAACTTTTGAACTGAAGAGAAAAGTTGAACTCAATCTATTTTATACGCAGAGAGCAACTTTATAGCCACAGACACATTACATTTACATTTTAGAATTGTAAAGGAAATGTTTTTAGCCAAGTATTTATGAAGTATCAACTGAAAGTTACCGGCGTTGCCCTTGGACAATTAAAACTTCTAACTTTTGTGAAAAAAATATTTTTTGAAGAAAAAAGTGTCGATTTTTTTGCCTATGTTACTACCCGCGGGTACCCATCGGTTCCCTCAACAAATTTTAGCCCATTCGGTCCAGCCGTTTGGCCAGCTATATCTAAAATACAAACAAATATATATGGGCGAAGAGAATTATTATAGTGAAGACTAGCTGAAGTGTCCGTCGTTGACCGGTGAAAAAAAATTTAATTTTGAAGAAATAAAATAGATTTTTGATTTTTTTTTTGATTTTTTAAGAAAAAAAATGTCGAAATATTTTTAGCTTATGTTACTCCCCGGGCACCCATTGGTTCCCTCAACAAATTTCAGACCATTCAGTCCAGCCAATTGGCCAGCTATATCTAACATGTAAATATATATGAGCGAAGTGCTTTATTATAAAGAAGATTTAAAAAACAATCAGCGATTTTTGCGTGAGAGCTTGCAACTTTTGGATCAGTTTGCGTGAGAGCTTGCAACTTTTGGATCAGTTTGCGTGAGAGCTTGCAACTTTTGGATCAGTTTGCGTGAGAGCTTGCAACTTTTGGATCAGTTTGCGTGAGAGCTTGCAACTTTTGGATCAGTTTGCGTGAGCGCTTGCAACTTTTGGATCAGTTTGCGTGAGCTTGCAACTTTTGGATCAGTTTGCGTGAGAGCTTCCAACTTTTGGATCACGTGACCTCGGTCCCCTGTGGAGTGGAGATGTTTATCTTCCCCTAATTAAACAAAATATTAATTGTAATAATTATACGATTCAAAGTCTTGAACAAGATATTCAAAAAATAAACAATTATGCATTTTCCCGTTTTTTGGTTAAATCTTAATAAATAATCAACAAATTATCCATACTAAGCTTTTAGAGAGCTTTACGCGCCCATCCTCTATTACAACTTCTAATTGTTGCTTTATCTGTGAGCATCTTCTCTTGTTTTATAATAACAAAGAAAGTTCGCAGATTTGATAATATTTTTTCACGCATTTTTTAATTTTACAAAAATTAAAAACTTTTGGATACAGATTTTTGTAATTTTGTGCATTCATAAACCTTCCCTGAGATCAATTGATCCCACGAAATTTGTTGGCCCCATCGGTTCAGCCGTTTTGACGTTAATTAGATACAAACAAACAAAAAGACGGACAAGCAAAGTATTAGCCATATTTGAACAACGTTTATTTAGTTTTGAAAACATTAATTAAAACAAATTTTGAAAAAATTGTTAAAATCGAAAGACATGGTAGCAACCGTCCAATTCTTCGGATTAGAGAATATTTTTATAAAGAAACTAATTACTCGCCAAAAACTCTAATTTAATAATCCGCATATCTTTGCAACTTTCTGGTGTAAACCTGGTATATTTTAAACGTATACTATTTGTTTTAACAGAATTCACAATTTGAAATAAATCTCTGAAATCAGGTTGCAAAGAATTAGGAATAAGAAATTTTGAATTTGAGATTAATCAGTTCTTTTAACCATTAGGTTTTACAGGTCACTAAACATAGAATTAGAAAATAGTTACAGACACAATTTAACCAGGGCCGGGTCAGAAACAGATCTTTTAAACAAGAATAAGACAGATAATCTAAAACTAATTATTTTAAATTTTTGTTTTTTTTTCAATGATTTAACTTCGGAAACCCAAAACCAACGTCAAAACTTTGATTTAAAAGTTTCGACCTTTCGTCATTCTTGAAATTTATATTTTTCTTAAATTTTCATAATTAACCTAGGATAGTTCGAGTATTTGACAATACATTTATTAACCTAGGATAGTTCGAGTATTTGACAATACATTTATTAACCTAGGATAGATCGAGTATTTGACAATACATTAATTAACCTAGGATAGTTCGAGCATTTGACAATACATTTATTAACCTAGGATAGTTTGAGTATTTGACAATACATTTATTAACCTAGGATAGTTCAAGTATTTGACAATACATTAATTAACCTTTGATAGTTAGAGTATTTGACAATACATTTATTAACCTTGGATAGTTTGAGTATTTGACAATACATTTCAGCTCTTTGTCTGATTTTAGTTTTCGACAAAGATCTTCATTGCGACGAAGATTGATTTAGTTTGCGACAAATAGTTCAAAGGTTTGATCCAATTCGTCGTTCACGTTCTGAGTTTTCATCCTTTCTGTCACAAGATCAGCGATTATAGAATCAACCCTAAATAATAGCGATGATAATAATGATAACAATAATAATAATGATAAAAGTAAAACTAATAAAAATAAAAATGATATTAATAATACTAATAATAATAATAATAATAATAATAATAACATTAATAATAATAAACGATATCTAACCTAAGATTAAGTTTCTGGACGGTTTTCTCTCCGTATTCTGCTCTAGCTTCAGCACTCTTCAGTCTATCCATGAGAACCTTGATCTAAAATACACAAACATTTCTCTGCAGTCTATCCATGAGAACCTTGATCTACAATACACAAACATTACTTTGCAGCTTATCCATGAGAACCTTGATCTACAATACATAAACATTACTCTGCAGCTTATCCATGAGAATCTTGATCTACAATACACATACATTAGTCTACAGTCTATCCATGAGAATCTTGATCTACAATACACATACATTACTCTACAGTCTATCCATGAGAATCTTGATCTACAATACACATACATTAGTCTACAGTCTATCCATGAGAATCTTGATCTACAATACACATACATTACTCTACAGTCTATCCATGAGAATCTTGATCTACAATACACATACATTACTCTGCAGCTTATCCATGAGAACCTTGGTCTACAATACACATACATTACTCTACAGTCTATCCATGAGAATCTTGATCTACAATACACATACACTACTCTGCAGCTTATCCATGAAAACCTTGGTCTACAATACATAAACTATAGTCTACATTCTATCTATGAGAACCTTGATCAACAATATATAAACATTCAAAAATTGTGAAGTTTTCAAATTGCTTCGAAAACCTTTTGAATAAAATTTTCGGAAAAGACTAAAAATACTGTATGACCTCGTCATGATTCCTTTATTTTTAATTTTACAATCAAAAGTAAGAAACTCCATGGCAAGATTTTATAATTAAATTGGATTTGTTTAGTATAATCTGCATGGCAGAAAATTGTTTCTGGTTTGGACATATGAAATATATTTAACCATTTTTAAATCGCAATTTTAAAATCTATTACACAAATGTATGCGCAATTACTGGTAAGACTTTGTGACCTCAAAATTTTTAGCCCAAAACAAAATATCTCTTCAAAAAGAGGAGTTCTGATTAAAAACATCTAAGATTTCAATCTAAAGTAAAAAGAAATAAGTCTTTGACACAAAATTCAAAATCAAATAATTTAAGTTTGAAAATCAAACCATGAGGTTGCAAAAATAAAGAAATTCGAACATTTGAGTTTGTGGCGAAGACGTAATTTCTTTATTTTAAACAAACCTGAAATAGAGAAGTTTTGCTAGTTATTGATTTGGTTTTGTTTTTGTTTTTGTTTTTGTTTTTGTTTTTACCTGCTTTTTGTATTCTTCTTCTCTTTGCTGGGCTTTCTCCTCTGCTACTTCAAGAGCTTTCAAGTTCTCTCCTTTAAGCAAGAAAATGTTAAAAAATGTTTTCATTAGCTTTTTTGGAGAGAAAGTAACTGAGTTTTTGCCACAAACTCAAATTTCCTAATTTCTATATCTTTTGATGGTGAAAACCTTTGATATTTTAAATTTATATTGAACTTATATACATAATTCATAGTTCGAAATATTTAAGGTCTACAAGATTGGGTTGCAACGATATAGGGATCAGAAAATTTGAGTTTTGGCAAAGACTAAATTCCTTTGATTTTGAGAGTAATTTAGTTAAAGGAACGCCAAAAGATTAGGATGGGGGAAGATGGGAGTTTATTTACATTCTACTGTCACGTGACTGTGACCAAAAACTACCAAAAAAGAACGTGTTAAAACATACGTTTTTGGGTTGTTCTTCCATTTTTTATAGGATAAAAAATATTGCAAAGATGAATGAAAAGAAATCTTGGAATTTTTTTTAAAAGTTTTTGAAAAACGACATAAAAGATCAGGGGAAGGCAGGCAGCCATAAGCCACAACATTTTTTACTTCCATGCCACATATTAGCTTTTTTGTCTTCCGGCAGTCATGAGCCCCAATCGTACGCCCTTCCATGCCACATTATTTGAGTCTTCCGACAGTTATAACATTTTTAAATGATAAATTTAATCTATTGCAAATGTGATTTTCATAAACCCAGCGACGTCATGCAAAAGATATATATAAAAAACTTTACTTATGAGTTTTAATTTAAGTAAAAAACTGCTAATTCTATTTTCCCCAAATATAAATTCAATCTTTCCTCTAAAATGGTTTATTTTGAAAACATTATGAACAATAAAAATGATGCACCATAACATACTCTTGAAGATCAAAGGGCGCCCATGCCCGAAAATTTGCACAATTATCTTTTTTTATTTTTTAAACAACCCCAAACAATTTGTCTCGGTGCCCACAATGCGTAAAATGATATAAAATTTGCTTTGTAAAATGTAACACAGATAATAAACTGAATATATAATTCATTGATCCTTAATAAACTTCTTAAATTTCTTAAAGAAATCATCTTTCGCTTAAAGCTGCAGGATTTATAAAAATTGCAATTTCAATCCACTTAATTTATCATTTAAAAACGTAATATCTGCCGGATGACTTAAATGCTGTGGCATGGAAGACTGTACGGTTGTGACTCATGGCTGCCGGAAGACAAAAAAGATAATTTGTGGCATAGAAGGGGATAATGTCGTGGTTTATGGCCGCCTGCCTTCCCCCGTTCCCTAAAACGAGTTGCACTAGTTAGGACTCCTCCAGAACTAGTTTTATTGTAAACAATAACAAAGATTGTAAACAATAACCAAAATTGTAAACAAGGCTTAATATTTTAATGCATTTTACACCTTTCAGTTTTCTTAGATTTTTACAACAAACTTTAAAGCAATTTGTCTAGTTTCACTTTAAACTGTTATTTTCTTAAAAATAAGACTCCTGGGAGATGAGTTTTCATCTAAACTTTATACACTAATCTTCTATTATTAGATAGAGAAAAGTCTTAAAAAAACTTATTTTCTAACATTTCTAAACTATTATTCAAAAATAAAGAAAAAAGTTGTTAATTATTTTTCTTAAACAAAAACTTTATTTTTTTATTTCTAGAAAAATCAAGAAAAAAATAAAATAAACAAAGCCTTTTTGAAATAATGTTGTATCCACGCCTGATAATTATTAAAAAAGATATTGAAGTTTCTCAATCTTGAAATGAGATCATCAATTCTATCAATTTCCGTCTTTTTTCTGCGCATCCGCAAATCACGCGCAATTGAATATTATCGACTATAGACAAAAATGTTATTCAGTAAAATTATATTAAAGATACACTATTAAAAAAGTTTTCTCATGAAATGTCGTAAACCAATTTAAGTTTAGCTTGTATAAAAAGCCTTCCATACAAGCTTTCTTTTAAAATAAAAAATGTCCAATTCAACAACATTTTTTAGGATAAAAAATGTTCAATTCAACAATTCATCAATATTCCCTGAAATGCATCAGCAAGAACAGAAAGTAATGTTTTATTGATCTTTATTGTAGGTAACCCTCCATTTATAAAGAAACAGTTTCTATTCCAAAACTGTACACTTAAAGGAAGGTATTGTTGATCAGATAACATGTGTAAATATATAGTATAGACATAATATATTAATGATGTTATTATTATATATATCATATATGTCTCAACTGTGTAAACATATAGTAAGTACACTCTGGGCCGTAGTAAATTTGAATTAGAACAGGACCTGCCCAGTTTGTACCAGCCTGCCAGATAACAGCGTGTACAGACCCGATGGTACAGTACGTCGCCCTAACCAGATTAACATACGACAGGGGTCAATTTTCTTGGCATAGTCCGGTCGGAGGGCTAACTAGACAAGTCCCATGGCGCGTTCAGACTTTTACAGTACCCGGGCTTATAATCCTATTTGACCAACCCCACTGGCTTAGTCCACCGTGAGTATTGGACATTATAGAGGCTGTGAGAACGGACTCTAATAAAACTATTCCAGTTACTCATAACTCAACAGACTAAATATATTGAGCATAGGTTAACAGGCTTAGGAGAACAATATTAATGTTTACATATCACATGTGAAGACTAAAGCAGAAATGCCTCGTACGAATCCTGTAAGGACTGTAAGGACCAACATAGATTGGAGCTAAAGGAGGAAAATGTCCATCCTTACGCACAAAAACCATTGGGCAGGACAAGAGAAGGGCCTGTAACTGCTCCAGGAGATCTGAAGCTTAGGGAATATTGTCATGAGCCGGAACAGGACGGAAACCGGACATGGGATTTCTGAGATCTTCATAAAAGTGGTTGGAAGGCGGATCTTTAACTGTCAGGAGCTGATGTGGGAGGACTAGCTCAGAACCATAGACAGCTTCAGAGGCTGAAGTGGCGGAATCTTCTCTTGGAAGAGCACATAAATCCTATAAAACCAAAGGCAAGTGCTCGGACCAGTTGGAGGAGGCTAAACAAGGTCGTAGAGAATTTATTTACTACCTGTGGAATCTCTCCACCATTCCATTCGATGAGGGTGGAAAGTTGTAGTTGTTTTGTGTTTGATATTTAGCAGTGAACAGATAGCTGACCATAAGGAGGATGTGAACTGTGTACCTCTATCACTAGTGATGATTGCAGAGACTCCAAAATGTGCGATCCATCCGAGGAAAATGGCGGAGGCACATTCCGCCGCAGAAATTCCCACAAGAGGGATAACTTCGGACCATCTTGTAGATGTATCTTCAATTGTTAAGAGGTATGTGTAACTATGAGAAGACGAAAGAGGAACAACTAAATCTACACGAACATGTGCAAATCTGCGAAATGAAACAGGAATCTTCTCAGTGCAGAGTAGACCCGGATAGATACGTCTCGAGTACAACCGTTATGGAGTAGGTATTTGTTACATATAGACATAATATATTAATGATGTTATTTTTGTATATATCACATATGCTACAATACTATGTCTCAACTATGTAAAGTTTTAAGATCAAGTTAATCAGATAACGGTTCAAAGGGTACCATTGGGAATCGAACCCTTAAACTAATCTTTTGCCATGCACGAAATCCTGGAATAATATTTGAATGTTGATTTCTTCTGTCTCTAAGATGAAAATAAACTCACCGATAACTCTGAGTTCTTCTTCAAGATCAACAATCTTACTCTCACCAGCCTCTGCTCTCTCACTAGCACGCTCCAGGTCTCCTTCAACCATAGCTAGCTTACGGGCAACCTAGATATACCTAGGTTTAGATATTGGGATCCTTCAACCATAGCTAGCTTACGGGCAACCTAGATATACATAGGTTTAGATATTGGGATCCTTCAACCATAGCTAGCTAACTAGTAACCTAGATATAAATAGGTTTAGCTATTGGGATCCTTAAACCATAGCTAGCTAACTAGTAACCTAGATATAAATAGGTTTAGCTATTGGGATCCTTCAATCATAGCTAGCTAACTAGTAACCTAGATATAAATAGGTTTAGCTATCTTCAATCATAGCTAGCTAACTAGTAACCTAGATATAAATAGGTTTAGCTATTGGGATCCTTAAACCATAGCTAGCTTACGGGCAACCTAAATATACATAGGTTTAGCTATTGGGATCCTTAAACCATAGCTAGCTAATTAGTAACCTAGATATAAATAGGTTTAGCTATTGGGATCCTTAAACCGTAGCTAGCTTACGGGCAACCTAGATATTCATAGGTTTAGCTATAAATTCCCTTCAACCACACTCTTTGCTAAAACCTACTGTTTATTCGGTCGGGGTACTGCAGATCGTTGCGTTGCAGTACGCACCAAAAGCATAGTTGACGGTGACCATAGCTATAGATAGCAACATGAACATATTTAGGTCTAGCTATTCGTTCGATTCTTTTCACCCATAGCTAATTTTATGTAGAATTCTGTAGTATTCTGCTAATTCATCTTAAAAAGACAAAGATCAAAGTTGAATTTTAGAAACAAATTCCTTATAAGATTTCATTGAATTCATTGAATTCTCTTTTATTTTTCTTCAAAGCACTATATTTAGAAGCTTATTAATACTATTTTCTTCAAAACATAAGATGAAATATATTAAATGCATAGCTTTGAATGAATTCAACCCTCCCCCATCCTTTACTCCGATGTTATTGGATGCACTTTCGAGTCTTGATTGATGAACTTAATCCAAGTGTAATGTGTATTACCTATGTTTTTATGATGTATAAAGTTAACTATTTTTGTTTAATGAAGGCAATATTTCAAGCAAAACTTGCTCGTTTTTCATCCTCGATCTGTTTTTTAAAGGGGGAAAAATACTTTTAGCACTGTTGATAATGAACTGTCAAACTAATGTGTAAAATAAAAAAATATGAAGGTTTTTAGAAAAATTTTCAGTGCATTAAAAATGAATATTAATAATAAATAATAAAGATTTAATAAGGAATACTTTTAATTAATACTTATATGAAATGAGAAAATTTGGGTTTTTACAGTGTTGTAATTTTTTTATTATTACATAAGATGAAAAAATCGGAATGACCTGATACAGGGTGTCCCAATAAACATGGGAATTCAGTAACGAACTCGATATCATAGTTTTAAATAATTCTTTGATTTAGTATAGTGATACCTAATGAGAAAGCTGTAATCTGTAAGAGTTTCGTCTGCTATGTTCACATTTTGTTTGTTAATGTTTTGACTGTAGTATACTGTTGTACTTAGTAAAACAAGAAAATTGCAGTAACTAAACATAGTAAACTTGTACGCCTTCACTGTTCATCTTGCGGAGACATTATAAACACATCTTTACAGTCTTTTACCCTTTTCATAAAATAAACTCTAGCAGATATTATAATATTATGGCTTTTGAAATTATGTATTACAATGCTAAATCATAACAAAGACGATATCGAATTCGTCACTGAATTCCCATGTTTTTTGGGACACCCTGTAGTATGAGATGACTTAATCTGCAGGTACTTTAATGTAAGAAAATGAAATAACGCTATTGCAATAGAAACTTAGCTTGTTTTAGAATTGGATAATGATATTTGAATAAAGAAATAATAAGATATCATTCAAGAAAGTCGGATTTTTTTAACAAATGTAATATAAAACACAGTGGCGTAAATAAGGGGGGTTATTGGGGTTATTTACCCCCCCTCCCCCCTAGAATCCTGGGGGTAATTACCACCCCTAGAATCCTGGGGTTAATTACCACCTCTAGAATCCTGGGGGTAATTCCCCCCCCCCTAGACTTTAAATAGTGAATGTCATTACAATTAGATGTTTTTTAATAGAAAAAAACGAAAAATACATTTTTACTTCTAAATAATGTGATTTCCATAGTAGATTTATTTAAGATCTTAACATACTACATTGACGACAAGAAAAGTTTAGAAATTTTGAAATAAGAATATAAACAAAGACAATATTTTTTCAAAGTTTTGCAGAGTAGCTTTTATAAAGATTTAAAAAAGTAACATCTTTTTCCTCTTGGAGTAAACTATTATTTTTTATGTTACTTAACCCTATTCCCGCGGGGGGGGGGGGTCAATTTGACCCCCCCCCCTGTAGTTTTTTTTTACATAACTCAAAAAGTATTGGTCTGAGGCTGTTGAAATTTTCTGACTTTTCTTACATACCCAAAGCCCTCCCTTTAGGCCTAAAACCGGGCTTTAATACTAACTGCCTGAGTCCTCAGGCACACTGCCTGAATGACTGCTTTTGCCTGTAGCAAACTAAATCTTTGTTTTGACCCACTTTCACTTGTCAGATTTTGATAAAATTTAGCTTTTTGGAACACCTATGACATAAGGAAACGGATTGCCCAAGTTTTGCGAAAAAAAAATTGCAAATTTTTTGCAAACAACCTGTCAAAGAAAATTTGCACATTTTTAGTTTTTCTTGATTAAAAATCAGGTTATTTAAAATTTTGCAAAAATTTTTGCATATTTGAAATGGCATGGTCAAGGGCTTTTCAAAAATGTATAATTTGTCATTTTTTGGACAAATATTTTTTTGCAAACATTTTTACTATAAAACTGGATTTTGCGAACAAGAGCTTTCTAATGATGTATCATTTGTCATATTTGGACATAAAACATGGGATTTAGAGGGGGGGGTCAAATTGCCCCCCCCCCCCAGCGTATCCTGGTTTTCAAGTACCCCAGCGGGGATAGGGTTAAAATAAATTCAGTTTTTTCAGATCTTTGTAGTTAATGTAAAATGAATGACCATAATGAAGGATATAAAACAAGGTGAAAGCTGAAAGGTATGAAATGAAGCCTTTATTTGATGGAGTTTGTAAATGCCAAAAATGAGTGGAAAATGCAAATCAGACCCAATTAAAACCAATAATTTGATATATATCATGATAATTTTCTACGGGGTGGTAAAAAAATTCTACGGGGGGGGGGGGGGTAAAAAAATTCAAAAATTTTACCCCCCTTACAGAATCCTTATTTACGCCCCTGTTAAAACAGAACAGGATAAAATATTTGTTAAGTTTTTGTCTTAATGTAAGATTCAGGGAGTAATTGAAAAAACGACGTCTAGTGTCCTTTCTGTTATTTTAATTGACCTATGTTTAGAGAAGTATAAGAAAAAATATTTTTTGGTATGAAATGGATTTTTTTCTGCCTTAATTGCATTTGATAACTGATTCTAATTGTTTATGTGTATTTAAGTGTGAAAAATAACAAAATATTTTAGAATAATTTTAATTGGTTAGAAAATAAGCATGTTTTAAATTATATAATGCTTTTCAAATAAGCAAATAGTTTGGCTTTTGTAAAATTAATACTGATATGTTTGATATTAATGTAGTACAGTAATATCAAACAGAGGATCAAAAGTAAGATTTTAGAATTTTTGTCTTGAACCATTTTGATGTTCAACCCTTTAAGAGAAGAAGAGAAATTCTTTTTTTAACATAGAATGAAATTTTTCTCTCTTGGTCATATTTATTATTTGATTCTAATTGTTATTTAGTGTCAAAAATAATAAGACTTGTGGGATCAATGCAATAATTAAGAGAATGATAAAGATTGTAGATTTTTTTGCAAAATTAAAAATAATCTTAAAAACAGGAAGAGAAGGAGAAAAAACTTATTTTAAAGTGAAAAAAGCTTTATTCATCTCATTATAATATTTATCTGATTGCGAGTGCAATTTAATGTGAATAATAACAGAACTTTAGATTAAGATCATAATAAAGATTGTAGAATTGTTTGCTAAATTTAGTTTAATCTTTAAACCTGTAAAAGGAGGAGAGAAAGCTTATTTTTAACATGAAAAAAAAGATTTTTACCTCATCATATTTATTATCTAATTCTAATTTTAATTTATTGGTAAAATAACACAATTTTTGAAATAAAATCATTGCAATATTAAAGATCTCGATAAAAATTGTAGATTTTTTTTTTGCTAAATTCAATTTATTTTTTAAACCTAACAGAAGAGAAAAAAAGATTTATGTAAAAATAAATATATTTTTTCACCTCATCGTATTTGATATCTGACTCCTCCACCATCTGTTTGGCCTCCTTGAGCTGGCTCTCACTGATCTCGATCCTCTCCTCATCAATCATATTCTTTGTCTCAAGAACCTGGAAAAATAGAAATTAATCTAAGGCCGAATTTTAAGATTTTAGTCGCGAGTCTTAACTCCTTGGTCTCCACTAGAGATGGGCATCGTGGCATCGTATTTGTGAACAAACAAAGTTCTTCAAGAATGACGATGTTGTTCAGAAAAATAACTAACACTGGACGAACAACTTGGATAATTTAGAGAAATGAAAAGACTGGTTTTTTTAAACTAACGAAAAAACAAAGGATTTAAAATTTTTTAAACGATCTTGAAAATCTAGCGATTTGTTCTGAACCAAAGAATTTTCCGCAAGCTTTTATTTTTTAACGATTAAAAAAAATGAATGAAATGTGTCTCTCACAATCGATGCACGAATGAAGTAAAAAATCCGAAAGCGCCCATCAGCAGTCTCAACTTTAACATTCATTCAAAGTTAGACTCAAAGCTTTGTCAAAGTAAATCGCAGGTTTTACAATAAAGAATTTAATAAATGTGAATAAAATGATAAAATGATTAAAAAGAGAAAGTTATCGAAGACGACCACTTTTCCTACTAAACACAAAGCGCGGCAATAAAATCCACAATGCACGAGCTTTAACCAAGAGTGCAGCCAAATCTTTGTTCCAATTAAGAAATGTGTCAAATGAAAAGGATCAAATAAGTATATTTAAATGATACTCATCCCAACAATTATATTTGACAAGAATTGTAACAATTGATTTTCAAGAGAAAAATTTTCAAGTGTGCATTTTATGCAGCAAAATTAATTATTTCAGCTTTTGAGATTGGCAAAAATATAAATACTTGAAACATTAAGAAATGTCTTTAAACTATTTGCATTATAGGAATTTTCAAGTAAGTGAGTTAATACCTTGATTGCTTTTAGAATTGAGTCCCAGAGTGCTGAGGCCTCGCTTAGTTCCTTGCTTGTGAGTGTACCCTTGGCTTCAGATCTAGAAAATGCGGGGTTTATTTTCCTTGATTTTATTTGGTTTGGTGTTTAGTGGTATTTTGCTAAACCAAATAATAACAGGGATTATCAAAACCTTCATTTTTGGATTCATGTTATTTTTTAGATTTAAATTGGGCTTAGTAATCATTTCTGCAGAAGTGTATTACTAAGTTCAAAATTTTCTGATGAATTCCTTTGAATACTTTAATGTAAACCAATTTAACAATCTGCATTTGATCATAAGTATTGACTATAAGCACTAACGTAGAAACATTCAATTTAAATGAATTCAAATTTAAGAAGAAAAAATAATATCATGATAAATTAAACTTTAAAAATATTATAATTAGCAACAGAAATGAAGAAATTTAAAATCAGAATGAACGTAAAACACAAAAGTTGACACGCACATTGTACACACACCCATTTCACAAATAAATTATTTGCTTAAAAACAACATCAAATCCACATCAGATTGATTAAATGTCGGCTTCCTATTTCACACTTTTCTGGGTTACACTAGCTTTATGAAATGACCTTTCTAATTCTTCCTCTAGGAGAGTAATCTTTCTCTTGAGAGCCTGTATTTCTCCTTCTGCCACAGAATAGGCTTTCTCCTTCTCATCTTAAAGTAAACATTCCGTTAAAGGAGAAAAAATGAAGGTGTATGAGGAATGAAGGTGTATAGGGAATGAAAGTGTATGGGGAATGAAAGTGTATGGGGAATGAAGGAGTATGGGGAATGAAGGTGTATGGGGAATGAAGGTGTATGGGAAATGAATGTGTATGGGGAATATATGTGTATGGGGAATGAAGGTGTATGGGGAATGAAGGTTTATGGGGAATGAATGTGTATGGGGGATGAAGGTGTATGGGGAATGAAGGTGTATGGGGAATGAAGGTGTATGGGGAATGAAGGTGTATGGGGAATGAAGGTGTATGGGGAATGAAGGTGTATGGGGAATAAAGGTGTATGGGGAATGAGGGTGTATGGGGAATGAAGGTGCATGGGGAATAAAGGTGTATGGGGAATGAAGGTGTATGGGGAAGAAAGGTGTATGGGGAATGAAGGTGTTTGGGGAATGAAGGTGTATGGGGAATGAAGGTGTATGGGGAATAAAGGTGTATGGGGAATGAAGGTGTATCGGGAATAAAGGTGTATGGGGAATGAAGGTGTATGGGGAATGAAGGTGTATGGGGAAAAGGGAAAAAGAGGAAAAAGTTCTTAGGTGGAAACTCTTGTACTCTTGATATCGAGATCAATTCATGATCTCAATCTTATGTTAAACTACAGATTAATTTAATCCTTATTTATCATCAATGAAAATTAAACTGAAAATTAAACCAATCAGAGTATTGTATGCGGAAAACAAAGGAAAAAGAAGAAAATTGTTGGAATAGGAAGGAGAAATAATATTCTTTTAATATTTTGTTAAATATCGTTGAAAACATTTTTAGAATTGCTTGAACTCAAGTGCATTGTAAAGTGTGAAGGTATAAATTTTCATTTGATACTTTCTACAATCTACATGCAATATTTTTACACTTTCTTGCAACAAATGGGGGTTAGAAAACTTTAAAGGAATAAATTATTTATTATATATTTAATATTTCCTTTATTTTGCAAATTTGTAAAATCAAAAACTTTTTTTTTAGCCAAGCAATGTATTGATTGTATTCAAATTGCAAAGAGACTAAAGGGATCCAAGGGAAAAGAGACTTATTTTAGCCACCTTTGAAAATAAAGTAAATTCTAAATCACTGTAAAAACTCTGATTCCTTTCAAGTACACGGCCGACTTCTAAGCAGCTAGAGCAAGCTTTACAGTTTGCACATACAGACTATATAAGGCAAAACAGAACAGTACACCTAATAAATCAGCCCCTTCTAAAAGATTTAAAAGTGAAATAACTAATGTTTTTAACTAACCTAGCTTAGTTGTAGTTTACGTTGCATTTTCTCAATTGTAACATCAAGATCTCTACTCACCTAGCTTAGTTGTAGTTTACGTCAGTTTCTCAATTGTAACATCAAGATCTCTACTCACCTAGCTTAGTTGTGGTTTGTGTCAGTTTCTCAATTGTAACATCAAGATCATTCTCAACATGCTGCATCTTCTTCTGCAGATCTCTTACCTAGTTATATTTTTTACGATATTTTTTGAAGTTTTTAAAAACTAATAGACCTTTTTTGTAAAAAAAGCACTTCAGGCATAACATTTTTTTCTTAGAATGAAGGAATTTTAGAAACATAAATTGTTAAATCTGGCAGTTCTTTATCTATAAATGCAAAAAATATTGTATGTTTAATATGAAGAAAAAAAGGGATCCTTGTAATCCATTATCAAATTCACCACAAAATTTTGCACATTTTTAAACCCTGGTTTTATTGGAAAGATTTTATAAAAGTTAACAGAGCTAATGTAATAAAAGTACAGGGTTTTGTTCCAGGGGGGGTTATGTATTATTATTTTTGATTAAAAATTTAAATGAATTTGAAATCAATCATTTTTATTAGTTTTCAATGAAACAAATTTTAATTATTACCCATTTCGATCAATATATTGTAAAATTTATTCTTTGAATTAGTAATAAAATAAAACTCGATTTTTTTACAGTTTTTAATTATGAAAATGTTGAATAAAAAACTTACATTTTCCTCTGTTTTCTCTGCGAGAGCAGTAGCTGCTCTATACTCGGCATCCAGCTGGTCAGCGCGTGCGAGTGCATTCTCAGTCTCAGTCTGGAGAAAGGGAGCTCATCTGTCCCAGTTTAAGGTTCAAGGGGGGGGGGGGGCATTAATTTATATGCTATAACAAAGAGACCTGAAGTCAAAACGACGCTTGATCTTGATATCACTTAGTGTTATTACTCGTTTTGGCTATTTTTTGAATTTCTTTATAACACTTCCAAAATGTCCAAACTGCATTCTGGTTGAGTTTGCTTTTATTAAACGTTGCAATATCTTTATAAAAAAAATATGACACGTTTGTTTTTTGGTTCATATCTTCTGTCAGGGTCAAATTTTGGCATAATAATAGAAAATCAAATGTTTAGAAAAAATTATTTTGAAAACGTTTTTTCACACTATGCCAAAATTTGACCTAGAAAGAAAATATAGTCCAAAAACGACTCAAAAACAAACCTAATGCACTGTCTGATGTGACAACTTAGAATGCGTGATGCACCATAATTACAGAAATGAATTGATCCTGGAACCTGAGGATGCGCCATTCTAAAAACCAGGAGGAAATCCGTCCTAAACCTGGAAGAAAACCCATACAAAACCAGGAGGAAACCCATCCTGAGCCTGGAGAAAACCCATCCTAAACCAGGAGGAAATCCTTCCTAAACCTGGAGGAAACCCATCCTAAACCAGGAGGAAACCTATCCTAAACCTGGAGGAAACCCATCCTAAACCAGGAGGAAACCCATCCTAAACCAGGAGGAGACCTTAACAAGAAAGAAACCATCATAAACCAGGAGGAAATTATTATTAACAAAGAGAAACCATCACCAGGAGGAAATCATTATTAACAAAGAGGAAACCAACACCAGGAGGAAAATATTATTAACGAAGCAAAAACCATCACCAGGAGGAAAACCTTGAATCCTTAAGGAGCTCGACTAAAAGTATAATATTATTTCTTTCGTATTTGGAATTAAAATCTTTTTCTTCATTTTAAGCTGAAATTAGACGATTTTGACAATATTTTGCTTCTTGATATTAGATTCAAGTAAAAAACAATAAAACCTTTGTTATTAAAAATCCTCAGAAGTTCAGTTGGATGATTATTAACATGTTATTATTCTTATTTTTATTTTGATTATTAAAAAAAGACAAGACCTTCATTTAGTAAAGAACCTTAATAAATTTTACGAAATTAGTTCATTTAAAAAAAACTAATTTTAAAATATCATTATCATTTATTGCCATGGAGGGTCCATCTGTAAATTATTGACAGCTTTAAAAATAGTAAAAAGATTTTACTACTTTTTAACAATTCTTTTGGATCGAAGTATTGGAAAATGTTTTGCTGCTCTCTGAGAAATAGCTCTTCAATATTTAGTATTCCCTACGGGGTGGTCACCTGGTCAATAATCATATATTAGAAACATTTAACCGTGGAACAAGAAAAATGGTAAATGTAGAAATATAGGGGTTCCTTACAACAAAAAGAAAGATATGAAAAGTCAAAACAGAAAAAAAAAAAAAAAAATTTTTTATGAATTAATATTTTTAACAGAAGTTTCAGAGCAGTTCTACATATGATAATCTTGAGAATGCAACCCTGGATTAAACATTGATAACCAGAAAATTGTGTAATGTTGTCGTCTACTACTTTCTTTAGTGAAATTTTAAAATCAAAATAAAGCACAAAGAAACCAAATTTTCTGGTTATCACCGCATATTTCAAAAAAATAATAAAAAACCAGAAGCTTTTTAATATTTTGTGTGGATTTTGCTAATCTTGAACTCTTAATCTCAAAATCCAGTGAGGATCAATATTTAATCCCTGCAGGTTATGCCTACCAAGGGATATAGGAGAAGAATTAAAATAATTTGTAAGAAAATGGCCCAATCCCAGTTTATATTTTGCAGTAATATTGGGGAAACAAATGAAATTTAAAACACAGAAAAAAAGATGAGTTTTCCTTCAGGCTTTGCATTTTCTTCTTGATGGCGTCCATTCTTCTTTAGTCGTTCGTCAACCTAATAATTTGGATTAATATTTCTTTTTCACCACTTCAAAACACATAATTGAACCACTAGGAACTAGTTTTATCAAAACAATAAAAAAGATTGTAAAGGTCGATTTTTATCTGCGCAGGATAGGAAGGCCATACTTCTACAATCATTGCGCCCTAAATTATGTTTATTTATCTATGTCTAGTTCCTGAGTAGTCACAATAATTCAAAATTCGGTGATGGTGATGGACAAAACCTCTGTAGAGTAAAAAAAAGTAGATATTAGTTCCACATTTATTGAAATAAAATTTAAATGATAAAATTAGCTCCCCTCCCCCATTTCTTCCCCAGTTCAACTATTCGTTTTGGGATAAATGAACAAAACTATTTGTAAATAAAATAAACTGCTTGTAAATAATAAAAGTTTAGTTTCTGTTTTATTTTCTACATACATCCTACATCCAATACACTTCCTCACTCCAAATATTCTGAATTTTCAACTCTCTTACTCTTAATCATTTTAAATAATACAAACAAAACCTTGTCTACAAATTTTCCTTTTTTCTTATACTTTTATTTTGTTAATACTTTTTTTATTTAGGACTGCCATTATGAAAAAAGTAAATTTTAATCAAATAAATTAAAGTTTCTTTTTCTATTTAGGTATGAAGGGTTAAAANAGTTCCCCCCCGGAGCAGTGAAATCTATGGTTTCCGGGTTTTTTGGGCCCAATGGGTCCTGAGCTCCCCTGAGAAGAAAAACAAATTTAAGCCCCCTACACTCCTGGACAAAACTCTGCATAATCCCGTGGTATACAGGGTTTCCTTTACACGTTGTGAACTGGACATGCCCCTTTACAAACTAAGGGCCAATAAAAATCATTTCTGGGAACCCTTTAAGTATTTTTTTAAAAACATTTTGTACATTAACTGTTTGTAATTAAATTAGATATTTTTCATCATTTGACAGCTTAAAGGGCAAGATTTTTTTATTTTTATCCAGGGTTTCCATTAATTTTTGTGGTCATATGGAGACAGTTTATAATAAAGTCTTTTTTATAATTAGATTTCTCATACAGTGAAACCCTTAATAACGAATACATCGGAAGAATTTTTCAAATGTCGTCTTGACAATTTTTCAATGAGTTTTATACTATATTACATAAATTTCAGTATTTGCGAAAATAAATAAATAGCCATGAATATGCGGGTACAGTTTCAAAGAGTTCCATATAATAATTTAATTAAAAAACTAAATATCTGCAACAGTCCATTATCAGAAAGTGAAGAATACGACATTTGATGAATTCTTTCGATGTATTCGTTATTAAGGGTTTCACTGTACATAACTCCTTTCATTTTTTCCCATGCATTTTCTCAAAAAAATACGTTTCTACATTTAAAAAAAACATTTTCTACAAATTTTAAATATATTTATTTTTTCCTTCAATTTCTTGAAACACACAACAGAGATAGATTTAATACAAAACAGTGCACCTTTTAGAGCTATACTAGGGACTGAGGACTTCGAAGCATTTGTCTACAATTCGCTACTTTTTCTTAAATGTTTTTATTTTCCTTGCATTCAGAAATTGCATATATTCAATCTTATATATGATTAAAAGTTGGTTTAAACATGCGCTTTGTTATAACCTTCCTTTTGTTGATCATTCTCATCTTTTGTGGAATGTTTTAATTATGAAGATTTTCTAAAATTCATGATTTTGGTTTTGATTCAGCCTTTTGTAGTTTGTACCAGAGGTTTTTTTTAGTACTTGTTGAGCATGTCATTGAAGGTTTCATCTAGTTGTCCTGAAACTGCGTTGATCTTCAGCTTCTCTCTGATAATCTCATCCTCAAGTTCATCTATTCTGAGATGGAGCTTGCTGATGTTCATCTCTGCATACTCGGACCTGCTGTCTGCCTGCTTCAGCCTGATGTTGAGCTGCTTGATTTGATCTTGGTATTTCTCCTCCCTCTTCCTTGCCTTCTCTTCACTCACCTCCAGTTGCTTCTGGTTCTCACCGATAGCAGCAAGTTCATCCTCAATAACAACCACACGAGCTTCAGCGTTCTTTACTCTCTCATCAGCTCTCTTTAATTCATCCTCCATCATGGACAGAGAACGAGCCAAGTTGTCATATTTCATCTCATTGTCATGGCCTAAACATTAAAATGTCAGATTTTGTAAAGACATAATTTTAAAATTACCTAAACTCACAAACAAATTTTATTTCCTAAAACCAGGTTTACAGGCCACTGTGCGCCCATCTTTCTCATAATAATCTCAGTCTTTTGTACATTGAGAAATAATTATAATAAAAAATTCCATGATGTTTATGATCATATTTCTAATTTCATTGACAGATTTAAAAATTTTTTTACCACAAAAATCTTGGACCTGATTGCTTCAGACGTTTTGACGTTTATTGGATACAAACAAACAGACAGACAAGACAAACGCAAGACCTCATATTTATTGGGAAGTTTAATATTGTAACAATTTTTTAATGAAACATTTTTACTCCTTAGAATGTAGTATTTTTCCTCTATAAATAAAAATCTAAATAACAAGGAACCATTATTTTGAAATTGGTAATTAGATATGGAATGCAAGGGTTCATAATGGGGTTTTTAAAAAGTGTACTGTTCCTTATACAAATTTTCATTTTTGTAAAAAAACTAAAAATTGAATTGTCATCTGTTGACATTTTTTTTCTTTTTTGTTTAAAACTTTCAAACTTTCAACAGAGTTTATGAAGATTTCATTTTTTAATACAAAATAAATCTAGAGATTTAATGGTTATAAAAACAAATTAAGTTTTGTACAGACTTTTGAAAATAATATTACTTAAGAAAATTATACCAGGATGAAAACTCCGATTTTTATGTTTAAGATTTTAAATTGAATTTTCAATTTAAAAAAAACTGTTTAAAGTGTTTTAAATGTCGTCGTTCATCTGGATATTTAACTATTTTTAATCTACCTGGGGTGCATTGTGTACATTGTAGTTGTTTTGTAAACATATATATTTTTTTTGCTTCTTGGACCGTTCTCTCTTTATTTTATTTTACCCTATATTTGTACAGCTTTATATCGTCTAAATTTGTTTCTTTGTTTTAGTTTTGAATACAACATAACTATTTTGATTATTAATTTTTAATGTGAACTCCATTTTACAGATATTTACTAGCCATCTGAAGATGTTGTGGTTTACAACGAAATATGTTTTGGTGAAAATGACACTTGTTTAAAACCTAGAGTGATAAGTTGGGTTGGAGAGAGTATAACAATGAAATCATTGATTTACAATCAGACTTTCAGATTCAATGAATCAAACTCTCTATTTTATTATTCAAAGTATATTTTTNCCCCGATCTCATGTTATTATGAAATGAGGATTGTGGAACTGAAAAGTAAATTGTAAAGTTGGTGAGGGAATACCACCCCAACAATGATTTATCCAGCTTGACTTGGTTCAATTAACATTTTATATCATAAACACACGAAACAAACAATACAAATGATTTTTCATCCAGGAAATAATTGGCAAATATGTAGGTCAGTTGATTTTTAAAATTTTTTTTGGTTTGAAATGGTTTGTTTTTAAGTCATATTGGAATTATTTGAAAGCTCAATATTTTAGATATTTAAATTTTTTTTAATTCACATTTCTCTAAAATTTAAATGACTGTTTTTTTATTTTCTGTCAAATTTTTTTCTAAAGGAATTGAGTCTTTGCCACAAACTCTGACTTTCTAATCACTATATCTTTGGAACCAAATGTTGCATAACTTAGATATTTCAAACTATGAATTCTGTTAGATCAAGTAATCTGAGTTTGAAATATCAAAGGTTTACAACATTGAGTTATAAAGATGTTGTGGTTTGAATATTTTATTTTGTTCAAAAGACTCAATTCCTTTACTGAAGTAAGGTCTTTTAAGTCATCATTTACTCTTAAGACTTTGTCAGTATGGGTTGTATGTTGTATCCAATAAATGCCAAAATGGTTAAACCGATCGTACACAGGAATAAAGTTTTTGAGACAACCTTGGAGTTTCTATGTTTTAAATATAAAGGTTTGCTCCATTAGGTTGCAAAGATATAGGGGTTAGTCAATTTGTGTCAAAAACTCATTATTTTGTTAGATCTTACATGATTAAAGAAAAGGTTAATTGATGTCACAACTTTTATATTTGAAAAGAGTGGAAATCATTCTTTGAGGAAAAAAAAAAATTAGGAAAATCTCAATTTTTAGGCTATGTAAATATTGTGTGAAGCAAAAAAGCCTGTTGGTAAAATAATCTTTTTAAATGTTAAAATTAATAAAAATGTTAAAATTAATAAAAGAACCACTGGTTTAAAGTGGTTAAAATAAAAATCTATTATGAATTGATTTTGTAAAAAATGTATACAAACCGATTCTTCTGGCCTCTCTCATCTGTTTATCCAACTCCTCGATCTCAACCTCGTTGTTCAAGGTCTTACTTTCCCACTCCCTGGCTGACTTGACGATCTTGTCTGCCTCCTTGCTCATGTTTGCCAGCTTCAAGATGGTGGTGGCCAGCTTCTCAATGCTGATCCTCACCTTAACAAAAAACATCATAAAACTAGGTATGGGCATTGTTTTTAAAGGGATTGTCATTGAAATGTCAAGCAACCCATCATTTTCAGAGGGACATGTCTGATTCACATTTTAAACCTTTGTCTGGTCAATAATGTGTAAAATATTGTTGTTTTTTTCTAGCTTGAAAAGATTTTAGTTCTCCCATTTTCCGTTGTCCAAGAAATCACATTAAAAAAGAAACTCTAATTTTAAATAACCAATTTGTTAAAGAGGAATAATCATAGAGAATAGAATATATAGAGAGGAATTAAAAGAATCTCTCGGTATGAATATTTTCAGTCATTTTCAGCCTGAAAGGGAGTTCAAAGTGTACAAATCATGTAAATGTTCACAAATTATATGCAGTAGAGTACATTAATACAGTATGTTCGTTAGACTATTCATTTCAATTTCG